CGGGTGCTCCTGCCCTTGGCTGTTCCCCCGCCGCTAGCTCGTAGGGTTATTTCTCCAGATGGGTAAACAGGTTGGAAACTTGGGGAATGTTCTGACGCTGGCCAAAAACCTACGCTTGTTTGTGTGAACAAATATATTCAGTATGACAGCGGTATGTTTTAAAGAATGAGGAGATGGAAGCAACATCCTTTCATTATCCTCATGTGTAAATATGCTTCAACAATATCTGCTTACCCTAGGGCTTGTCAAACAGGTATGGTTTCCCACCCCTTGAATAGTATAAACCCTAGGGTAGATATTCTGCTGTGCTGTAATTTTTACCATGCAGGTTACTTGCATCAGTATAAGACATTTAATATTCTAAGCTGGTGTGCTTGCACAGTGCAAACACTGAAGCACAGCAAACCCCCCAAACCCCGGTGCTTTACAGAAAAAGTTATACTGTGTTTGTTAACATGTCTATAAAACAAGTTTAAATTTGTATTGATATGAAAGCTGGAAGAGAATGCCAAATAACAGTCAGCTCTGTCTTAAACTATTTGACCACAGAATACCTTTGTAAGTATGTGGATGCATAGTGCTTTACGTATTATCGGGTTTTGGTAACACAGTGTTGCTGATTCTGTGTGATGTATTGTGGGCAGGACTTTTTCTTCATCCTTCCTTCCTCCCTTCACTTTTACTTATCTGTGAAGGAATGGTTCTTTGACTACCTATAACGTAACGCTCAGCTAAGTATGACTCCATTACCACAACAACTTCTTAGCATTCTTAAAATGTTTGTGGACTATGATTACTTTTTCTTGGGGCCAGCTGGAAATGCTCTTGTGTTTTCCAGAAGAATAATATTAGAGCTTTTAGAAGACTACTGGGTTTTGGTTTTGTTTTCCTGGAAGCTAGCTCTACTACTATTTATTTCTACTGAGGTTCATGTTTCTCTGAAACATACATCAGTTTGTGTTTTTCAGCTTAACTTTCTGTGATGGATATCTGTTTCCTCTGTCAGTTCTCACTGATTTTCTGTGTAGTAAGCTGCTACTGACATGCGTGGATTGAAAATTATTTTTTTTTATTTCCAAAAGTGGTAATAGCCATGTTGCCAATATAACAACTTAAACGTTCCTACTGAACTGAAAGTATTTATGCACCATTTACTGAGCTTTTAGCTCTTCTTAAAAAAAGTTGCCTGTTCATAAAACTTCAGATAATACCACTTCCTCGATATTACTTAGTTGCTACTGAGTTTCTTTATGAAATCAAAGCAAATGTGAGTTGGGTAATACATTGGTTACATTTTAAACGGAAGCTGTTGTGTTGCAGGTAAAGGAGAACAGCTCTCTGCGGTTCCCGAATTAGCAGTTAAGGAGCTTGGTTAGTTAGTCAGGGTGGCATTTTGCATGCATGCGGTGTAAAAGTTGCATCTGGTTGTGGGTTTTTCGGGTTTTTTTGTTTGTTTTTCTTAGACTGAGAAGCTATATATCCTGCAGTTTGAGTGAACTAATCTGACAAATTAAGAGCCAGTAGCGGTTAGGTAGTAAGCTGGCTGCTAAATATTTTTTTATCATGACATTTGATTTTTTTTTTTTTTTTCTCTTATGGAGGTGTGCCTCTTGTGCTAAAAGTCTGCTTGTCACTAGTTTCTCTTTTCCCTTTTGACCTTGAAAATTTGGGGACACAAGTTAAGAGTTACTTGTCAATCTATTTAAAATGAAAATAGAAGTATTATTTCCACTTTTTGTGTTAGTCTTACAATGTCCTGTTTCTGAGCAAGAACTAGACTTGCTTTGTGCGTGGAATGTCACACATCAGGTCCTTTCTAGATTAGGTGCATAGGACAGAGGGAAACAGAAACAAAGAAGAGGCCTTCACAGTTGTCTCTCAGGGCCTCTTTTAAATTGCCTTACTTTTTTCCTGGTTTTATTTCAGTAATTTAATGTTTTGTTTTGTGCTTTTTTTTTTTTTTCAATGAATGTCTTCTAGTATTTTTGATGTGAAATTATTAACACAGCTCCTGTATTTTCAAACCATGTCTTATTTGAAAGAATTCAGTATTTGTCCTACTGCACAGTGCAATAAGCTGCACAAGCTCTGCATAATGCTCTGTGTTTAGATGTGTTTTCTTTTTGTCATCCTGATCAAAGCTTTTGGGTTTTGTGGCTTTTTAAATATAACACCAAAAATGTCTCATGAAAGCTTAAGGTGAACATAGGCTACAAACTGACAGCAGTAATTTCAAATGCTCTGGTAACACATTCAGTGTGTTCCTGCCCAAAATTTTCCCAGATACAGCTGAAACAGTAGTTGCATAAAAGTGAACAAACAAAATTTACGGGAAGGTAGTTTTCTTCATATGGCACAGTTAAATAGGCAGCTTGGTAAGGTGATGAACTTCATGAGGCACGATGTTGTTAGATTGATTGGTGTTGTGTTATGTTATAGACTATTTCTGCAACATTAATGTTCCATTCCATAACATTAAAAATAAGGACTTGTGAGCTTAACTTTGGAGGGTGGGGAAGCGAGGGTGAGTGTTCTTCATGTTGCTGTATTATGGTGGTGCAACGGTGTACAAAGTTTAAATTGAAAAATTAAAAGGAAATGTGTTTGTTTTTTTTTTAAATGATTGTGCAATGTTTTCTGACATGTTTAATTCTTCTACAGATTAACACTAAAGCCCCACAATGTCCTTGAAACCACGAGTAGTTGACTTTGATGAAACATGGAACAAACTTCTAACAACAATTAAAGCTGTTGTTATGTTGGATTACGTTGAAAGAGCAACGTGGAATGATCGCTTCTCGTATCCTTTAAATGAAAGTCTGACTTAATGTGTTTAGCATGGGGTAGGCCTGCATTATATAACAGTTTCAGTGGTCTTGATCAGAAACTCATTGTAAGGTTCTATCTGTTATTAAGCCTGTGGGTCAGTGGATATGTTGAAAGGGATGTGGAATTCTGCATATTTGGGAAGTATTCTATGTGAAAGTCACCACAGTAATAAAAAGTAAACTGGACTGAGTTTTACTCACTTTGAGTAGCTCTAATACTTAGCTTATGCTGTAGCTGTTCACAAAAGTACGTGCATTGAATTTCCCGTTCTGATAATGAGTTTTTCATGTATGCTTAAGTGTGTGTGTGTAGCAGGGGAAACACCTAAGACAGAGAATGCACATCTTTAAATTTGGGAGTGGGGGGTGGTGGTGAGGTTGTTCTGTTTAAAGATGCCTCCCTCTTCTTTGCACTTCTAAGTGTACTGATGACTACCATGTTAGATATTTGTATAGCAAAGGTTTATTAAAAAGCCTCCTTCCTTTCCCTCCGCTGTTATTGCCTCTCTTCCTGACAGTTAAGCTATGTTTAAAAATAATTACTCTTTCTAGCTGTGATCATATGGTCTTGCTGTTCAAGTCACAGCTTGTACATATATTGGTGTAGTGAAAGGTTTGCCTTTTACATGTAAAATGGACTTGTAATTTTTTTTACAAGATTTAAGTTTCAGTGAACTTCTTTTAAAAGTGTAACTGTTCTAACCAGTTATACTGTGCCCCGTGTCTGTGCATTCATTAGCCATTACAGTGTGGTGAATAATTAGAGAATTTTAGGAGGCTTTGCAGCTGTTCAGCAGCAATTTGACTGAGTTTGGTTTAATTATAGGGGAGAATAATCGCTTAGACTTATTTATTGATTTGTTAATTCTTCTGGGTGGAAAAAGAAGCTCCTGATAAGATTCTTATACATAGATATTTATTTATTTTTTTTACCACATAAGCTTATTCTGTGTGCAGGAGCTAGACTCTAAAGTCTCTTTCTCAATGTGTTGCCATTTCTCAGAATTGCTTTCCCATGTGCCTGTGTTTTGAATGTGTGCACGTGTATAAATACATAAAAGAAAAATATAGAGTCTCGTAGTCCTTGTGGAGCCTTTTTCTATAGGGCAATAATCTTTAAGGAGTTCTTTAATTTTAAAACTTAAACTCATTTCTGGGGGCATGACTCTTCACTTTGTCTTGGGATCAAGTTCAAATGACTCCAAAATTTACAGACTATTTGAATTAACTAGTTGTGCGCTTATGTGCTGACAAATTGTGCTATAGTCATTCTTTCTAAGCAGCTTTTGAGAATTGCATGTTTCAGTCTTCAACAAGTGGTTAACATCTGTAGCTTAGAGCTCTAAACATTTAAACAAAGGCACCTAAAATACTTCTAAATCTAAAATAATAGTCGAATGAGATGTTGGATTGATTCTTCTTGTCACACTGGTCCACTTAGAACTTTTTATGTGGAGGCCTTGTACACAAGTCTGCTGTTGATCCTCTTTTGGGGATTTACTTCAGTTGATTGAACAACAGAAAGGGAACGCTTATGAATAGCAGACTTTGGAAGCAGTCTTGGAAGAATCATTTGGCATGTAATTCTGAAGACCTTACTTACTATCATCTCTTAAATATGTTCCTTGGAAAGCAGCACTTTTAGTGCCTAATTTGGCACAGGCAAGAGCCTTTTGGCTTACGCTGTATGGCTGAATGGCCTGAGGAGCTTGTGTGACTTGTAACTTGCAGCTTAAATGGTGATTGTTTAGTACTTCTGCTGACTTTAACCAAACTCTGTTTTAATGCAAACTGCTCACTGAGTATTCACCAACTTGGTGAAACTGGTAGTTGTATACAGCTAGTGTGCAAGCATTTTCCAAGTTTTAAATATATAAAGAAAATTAATGATATATTTTAGGAAGATGTGGCATTTAAAAAATACGTCTTGTTCTTTGTTAGCTTTTTCTTCTCTCTTAAATTCAGTTTAATTGCAGTAATCTGTTTCTAAACATCTACAGGGATTTTAAAGGAAATGTCATATTAAATCTATTTTTCTTGCTGCTTAATAAGCACAATAAAAAGGTGACAAATGGTTTGATTAGTCGAATACAGTGAAGAATCATGACTTCAGTCTGCAGCAGTGTATTCTAAGAAGTGTTTGCTTTCTCTTGTGATGCTTGAGACAGCTGATATCAAATGGTGTATGCGAACAAATAGTATTTTAGGGGTGAGAGGCTTGTACTGTGCATATTCTACTTCTAGAACTAGTTTTTGCCTCACTACTTCCCCAGAGCTTGTTTGTCTTGAATAAATTGTTTTCTTTGTAACTCTCATGGTAATGTTATCATTAAACATAGTTTATCTTTAAATACAGCTTCTATCTCAAACTTGAAATGCTAGAATGGCAATGAGCTTGGAACCACAACCGTGTAAGAGTTAAAATCATCTGGAAAAGATCGCTTGAAAGACCATATGTCACTTTATTTAAACTGTGAGTCATCTTGAGCCACCTTTGACCTTCAGATTTCCTTTAAGGTTCTCTGCAGAAAGAAATGTTTCTGCAGTTGTTTCATTGTCTGGTAAAGGAGTGACAGTTATGTCTGTCTATTTGAGATGTTATTTACAATAATTTGGTTATTGTTAATGCTTTGTATACCTTTCAAGACTTTGCTTCTAACTCTTCAGTAGGCTAGGGAGTGCTCTTTAACTTAAGAGACTGATCAAGCTTGGTTGGAGAGTAGTGGTTCATCTGTACTTTGATAACTACCTTTTATCAGTAAAACTTTTTTGAACATCAGGGTCTTCCTGTTGTTTACTTGGGTTTTCCACCAACCAAATAAATAGGATGAGCAGTACCCAGGGAGGAAGTAGCCGTACTGCAAATGGAATTATTTTAAAAGTATGCAACATGGCCAACTGCTTTTTTTCAATTTTTCTGCATGTTTGTTCTCCCTCCTCTAATCCTCTGTTTTAAAAGGATCCTATGATGAACGAGAAACTTTGAAACATGTATATTTAATATATGATCCAGCCCAAAGAGAAGGAAGAGTAAATAAAGTTCATATGATCATGATTCTTCTGACTGTGACTCCTCAAGTGCTCTATGAATTTTGATTCTGGTATAGAGGAAGACCAGCAATCACAGAAATTTTCCAAAAGCTCTACTTTGGTATTCTAGAGAAAACTAATACGTGGTCTTAACTAGGTGCTTTTTTAACGCTGAGGACAATATTTGTGAGCTTTTATGGCCTTGGATACAGTATTTTCTTGTTGGTGGTATTTTTTTTTTTTTTTTTTTCATTACTTTGGAATTGCTTCAGTTTCCCATTGCTGGGTAATGCCCCCACATAGCAACTACTGGAGCACTTAAATTGCACGAGGCTTTTGATGTTCTTGTTCTCAACACAGAGTGAAGGCCCCTAAGCAGCAGTTTGGCTTCAGCTTCCTTTTACCTTTCTCGCCCTGCAAAACTACGTGCTGAACTGGAAAGACAGATGACTTTAACCATTAAAGATAAATTATTGAATAGTAAAGGCTTCTTTCTGATCTTCTAAGGGACAGCAGCACAGAAAAAAATGTGCTTTAAGTTTATGGAGTAAAATACCAGTGGTGATTAATGATTCATCTCCTGTGATAGGTTGTTTTGTTGTTTTGTTTTGGGTTTGGTTTTTTTTGTTGGGTTTTTTGGGTTTTTTTTAAAGATTCACAACACTTGAAAAGCAACAATTCTATGGTTCCATAGTTCTACGGCTTTATATTTTAAACAATGGATTTAAAACCTAAATACAGGGAAGCGGAACAGATTTCTTGGGTCTCTCAGTTTGGACTATAGATGATATAATTCCTTTCATCTTAAAAATAATCATCATTTCTGTTCCCCCTAGTTCTTTTGGAAAGCTGTACCAGAAACACATCGTGCATCGCTGACACTTAGAAACTTTTTTCTAAATGTCAGCAACCTGGTCTAGTGGGAGGTATCTGTGCCCAGGGCAGTGGGGCTGGAACTAGATGATCTTGTACAGAGAAGGGCTACAAAGCTGGTGAGAGGTCTGGAGGACAAGTTGTATGAGGAATGACTGAGGAAACTGGGGTTGTTTATCCTGGAGAAGAGGAGGCTGAGGGGAGACCTTATCACCCTCTACAACTACCTGAAAGGGGGTTGTAGAGAGGTGAGGGATAACCTCTTCTCCCTGGTGAAAAGTGATAGGACGAGAGGAAATGGATTCAAGTTATGTCAGGGGAGGTTTAGACTGGATAGTAGGAAACATTTTTTCACTGAAAGGGTTATTAAACATTGGAATAGTCTATCCAGGGAGGTGGTGGAATCACCATCCCTGGAGGTGTTTCAAAAAAAAAAAAAAAAAAAAAGGGTAGATGTGGTGCTTAGGGACATGGTTCAGAGGCAGTTTTGTCAGGGTAGGTTGATGGTTGGACTTGATGATGTTGAAGGTCCCTTCCAGCCTCAGCAATTCTATGATTCTATGATTTTGAACGCTACACTTCAATTTGGATTCTGGACTGAAAGATATAGTTAGATGAATAAACTAGTACAAGTTGAGCAAGAATGTGAACTTTCTGTAGCAAAGCTGCTCTGTAATGTGTTTTTGAGGCTCATGGTAGGTCTTTTTGTATATGTCCAAAGAAACTTAGTATCCAAAAAGTAGAATTTGGTGTTGATTTTTGTCATTTGGATGATATAGGAAAGTGTGTGAGGTGCCTGTGGAAGTACTTCTGTGATTAAGCTGTTAGTTTAATTTCAGCAGGTATGCAAACTGAGCATCATATGTCAAGGAAGAAGGCTAGATTCAGGTTTCTTCATTTGCAAGAAAATTTGACTATTTTCTAGAATAAGGAAAGGCATGTTTGGAAGATAAGCATTTTCATGAAGGAGCACAGATACTGTTTTCATTCTTAAATAGGTTTATTACAACTAAGAAACTTGTTTACAACAGTGAGGTCATCTGGACTCCTAACTGAAGCCTAGGGCACAGATGCTAAATAAATTCAGAGATATTTGTTTGCTGCTTTCGTCAGATAAGCTGCCATTATGATGTTCTTGTGCTGTTGTGGTAAAGACTGCCTGTTTCCTCTAACTTCAAAGTTCTTCCTGTAGCAGAGATCCATTATAGTTTTGGTGATTCAGATAGTGTAGTTGCGGATCTGAAGAGGAAAAAAAAAAGGTTGTGTCCCCTGTGCTTGTGAGTAGCTTACAAAGATTTCTAATTCTGGAATTTACTTTCTCAGAAATACCTTATTTGCGTAGTGAAGAGACTTGTGATCTGAGTGGTGTTGAGGATACATTCAACTGTGGACCATCCTCAGTCTGACAAAATTTGTTTGGGGGGGGTGTAAAAAAAAATGAGAAAAAATTGTTTTTTACAATCTGTTTAAGAAAACCTTTCATTCTTCACTACTAATTTAATAGTTTGTTTTGATATTTTATTGATCGTAATTTTGTAAGTTGGTGTAATGTAATACTAGCTACTGCTACAAAGCAGTGACTATTACCTCTTTTGTTTGGGTTTCCATTTAATGCTTGTTGCCATTCCAAGGAGAATTCTGATAAAAATTATCTATATGGATGAAACAACTGTACTCGAGATTAGACTCTGATTCGAGTCTCTGCGATTGCAGTTGTCAAATAAAAGCTTTTTTCCATTTAGTTGTCCTACAGCAGTATCTTCCGTGGTGTTTTGAGTAGCATCAATATAAAAAATGAAACATGCTTTTGGGCAAAACTGTGTGATGAAAGCTTGACATTGTTCTGTAGACTGAGCAGGTGACTTGTCAACTGTCCTTATGTCTTCTACCTCCTTTTACACAGGCATGTGCTTTTTTAAGGTAGACTAGAGGAAAGCAGATCTTGTGTCTTATAATTAAAGAGCTTACCTTAAAAATTAATCTATACTAAATAATTATTTCTAGCATGGCTAGTTTTATAAAGTGCCTAAACTTAGTAGATAAGCGTGATGTTTTAAATAATTTTTGTGGAACTAGTTTATTTCCCTCAGTTGTTTACCTGAAGCTTGGCTTAATCTTTGCTTGACTTTTCTGAAAGCAAAGTTCTTAATCATAAATTCTTTTCCTGACAAAGTATCAAGTGTCTTCTAAAAAATGTGATATAAACCTTACAAACCAAAGGTGTAGCTCTGCAGGATACTTCAGGGACAAAACCACCTTAAGGGGTTTAACTGTTTGCTGCTGCCCATTGAAGTGAGAAAGTATAACTTTTGTGTGGCTCTGATCTAAACATGATTACTGAAATGATAATGATGGTTAAAAATATTACAGAATTTTTGTATCCACACAAACATTGCGATGACTTAATTTCCAGTGTCCCACAAAATTGTTTTACCTGTGGAGTTGGGGGGAATACAGGGATAGTAAATTATTTTGGACTTGGGGGAAGAAATCTTGAAGTCGGCATCACTTCATGTTTGCTCTGCTCCATACTTGGCTAATCACATTCTTAACCTAATTAGTGCTTCTTTCCATTGTCTGAAAAGAGTCTGTTTCACATTGGCTGCATATACAGAGGAAGAACTTTGGTTGAAAGCTGCTCTTTCACTTTGAGATCATCATATATTATTCATAGATGGCAAATAAGTGGTAGAAGCCCTGTCAACATGGGGTTACCGGAAGTTCCGCGATCTTAGCTCTAACATGCCCTCAGCTTCCACCACTTAAAATTTATTATTGATGCTGAAAACTTAAATTCTTCACAAATCGGGACTTATACTAATTTCAGAAAGTGATCCATTTTATCTTTTGTGCTTCACAGTTAAAAAAAATAAATATCCAAAATGCATGTGTGGGAGAAAAAAAGGTTCTATAAGTCTTAAATTTTGTTGATAAGTTTTCACACTTTAAGCGGATACAAACCTTGACTCTGAGCCCAGAGACATTTATGCTTTGTGTGTGGCCTATCCTGAACCTCTTGGAGAGAGACTTTATACTGAGACTAAAATTTTTTTGGAAAATCATGTACGCCATTTGCACAAGGTAACCTATACAGTTACTGGTGTCTTGTCTGTCCTTTTTTGACTTTAGGGAGGGGTTTTGTTTGTTTTGTATGTGTGAAGGTATGCAGGTTTTATGAGACTAAATCACAGATGACAGAGGTCCAGAGACAGAATGTATATCTATACATTTGACATACGCAACTCATACCACACAACACAATGTAGATATCTATATATCTGTCTATATGCAACCCAAAAGAAAGAACTTTCTAAGCCAACAGTTATCTTTTGTATTAAATATTCGTTGGCTTGAAAAATAAGTGCTTTCTTTTCTGTTGAATGCTTATAATCAAACATGTTACAGAAATGTCTTCATTTTCCAACTGTGCTATAGTTTGTCATTAGCCTTATGTTACGATGTAAAAGTATCTGTTCTCTTGTCTTCGAAACTGATTATATATATTCCACTAAAGAAAACTTCTGAAATATGTGGGAAATAAAATAACAAAAATGCTTGGGACAGGAGGAAGTAATGACAAATTATTTATTATGACAAATAACAATATTTGTATACCTATGTAGCTGTGAATTAATTTCTCTCTCATCTGCTAAGCAGCTAATTTCAACAGAATCATGATTCGTCATGTTGAATATATAGGATGGATGAACAGTGTCTCCTTGCATTTCAGGAAAAAGAGAAGTAGATTTAAATAAGATGTCTCCGCCTGTCTTTGGTGTCTGTATAGGGAATGAAGAATTGCAAGTTCTGGATAGTACTGCTAAATGGCTTGATGCTATTTTCTGAGCTTAGGTACCTGTGTATTTGCCAGGATAGGCTAGGTATCTTAATGGTTAGTTCCACTGGTTGCAGAGAGGATACCTCTGACACTTTGGTAGACCAAATCAGTTCACTAAACTGGCAGACAGTTCAGCCAGAGAAGTTCTTCCTCATTTATTTATTGAGCTGAATGAGCTCACTTAGGATCATGAGACACGTGACAGCACTATAGAAGCTGTGGAAAGGAGTGGAAAGCATATGTGTGTTTTTTAAATTGGCTGTCCACGATTTGTCTTTGTAATAACGTTGGAAAACATTAGCAAAATTCATACTGCCGAGAAAAGCACTCTCCATTCCGTTTTGTCTACTAGCTTTCCTCTTTTACATTATTTTTGCATAGGCTTCTTTGCTGCTTGAGCCAGAGTTTAAAATTAAATACTCTAGAGAGAATTATAGTTGAATTCCTAGGTTCTCATCCTCCTTCATAAATCATATTAATTTGTTTAAATTGTTGAACTTATTCCTTTGAAGTATGAATATATTTTGAGAAGTTCAGTACATCAGCAACTTCATAGATAATTCCCTTAAATTTCAAAAGATTTGGGCCTAGATTTACAGAACTTAAGACGTGTTTAAGTTTGCACATATCTGCACTTCATTAAACTTGTTTTATTCCAGGATTCTTGGTAAGTATAAGGGCTTGTCTAACCAGTAAGGTATACTGATTTTAAGCAGTTGTGGTAAGGCAACTCCTCCACTGTGCATGTGGCTGCATGAATTTAAAATTGATCTGTGTCAACAAGGGAATAGTTACACGAGTTGTCCCACCAGTATGACGTGAGAATATGAACCATGCTTATTCAGGCAAGTACTTCTGTTAAGACAAATAGAAAATAATATGTGAGATTGTTATTTTTAAATACAAAATAAAACAACTTCAGGTGTTGTGACTGGCTTACCAAAACTTCGTAGTATGAAGATTTGTTAGTTTTCTGATCATTGCAACTATGCGATTTTTACTCCGGTTAAAGCTTAGGTGTAGTCTTAATTTAGAATTTGTGATTGTTATTCCAAAATTATAATCCTCTTATAACTTTCTATGTACGTATGCTGTTTTCATACTAATTTTAGCGGGGGGCATATGTATTCCTTCACAGAGGGTTCTGGAAGCTGAAGAGCAAGTACTGGTTATGTATCACAGATACTGGGAAGAGTATAGCAAAGGGGCGGACTATATGGACTGTTTATACAGGTAAGCTTTGCAAATGAGTTGTTAAACTTTTGAAATGTTTACGATGACCTGCCGCTTAGGTCTAAGAATGTTGCTTAAAGAGAGCGATAGCTGAATATGCCCCAGGTCAGTTTTGGAGAGAATATAGTTACGGTTAGCAGAACATGAGAAAAAAGGAATAATGCTCCAGGAGGTTTTTCTGTGCACTGCTCCTTACCACTGAAGTAATTATCTGAGATGATTCCTACTGTTCTTTCATTACTAATATATGCTACCTCTGTTGTTTCTGATACTGCAGTGTCAAATATGTTGGTGCTAATCAACCCTTCAGTGAAGTAGCTCATAATTCTAGGTGTTCTCCTACAAGGATGGCATTGTACTGAAGGGTCCAGTTGAACCAGCATGGTTTGTTTCAAAGCTTAGCCATGTACCTTGGCAGAAACGCCACTTTCCCTTCTAGAAAAGCCTTTCTGACAAGGCTACGTGCTCTTTGGGTCCTTTCTTTTCAGGTGAATGTTTGAACTGCAGTGATTGGAGAGGGAGTAAAAATTACAGCCATGTCTATAAACAAAAACACAACTAACCCCTATTATTCTTGTACTTCTGCTGTTCCCTGAATTGTCAGTGTGTTTTGTTGCTACTAGTGATCGCTTAAGCGTATAAAACTCACCCATTCATGACTTGCTAGAATTATAACAATATTGAGATGGCTTTGGATTTACTAGGATTTGGATTTTAGTCCCACTCTAACTGTAGGTTGAACGTTCTCGTGTCATTATGCATGTGATACTCAGCAGGTAAACATAACTTACGAGGCACTGTTAATATTGTACTTATTTGATGGTAGGATGTGAGGATTTACAAAGGATTTCAAGACCTTTACTATTATTTTAAGAGATGTATGTGTGATCTTGTAGAATCTATTAAATTATTGCTAGCAGACTGGGAACAAATGTGATGGAGGCCATCTTGGGCTTGCAAACTTTAGTTCCATAATGTGTCACCAACTTAACTGGAGAGTTGATACAGGGCAAAAAAAAAATCCTGTTTAGTATGAACGTCTCTGATTCTGCTTTGTGTAAATTTTTCTGAGTGCTTGAGTGCTTCTGGTCATAAACCAACAAATTAGAATACTTCTTCAGCAGTGTGAACCTGATTTTTTTGTTGTTTGTTTTGTTTTCTTTTTAAACAAGCTTGGGTATCTTTTTCCCGACAGTTGTTACACACACAAGCCAACCTGTAAATATATATAAGCTCAGTAGGGTGGTATTTATATACTGGTGAAGCCAAGTTCTTAGACTATGAAGTTATTTATTTCATGCCTATTCTGACTCTTCTTCCTGCTTTGCATATGGTGTTTGGTCCAGAAAATGTACTTTTTAGGTATTGTTGGGAATAATTTTACCTCAAAGTTATATCTTCTTTTTTTGTGTTGGGATTCCGAGTTATGTCATATACTATCTTTAAGTCTCTAAAGGGTATGACTTCCATAGTAAGACGTACATTGTAGTGGGAACTAAAAGACCCTCTCACGTGAAGGCAAGAAATAATTCAGTGCTTGATTAGTAGGGTCTTAATGACTTTCACGCATTAGTAACACTTCATTACATGTTATGTCACTTTTTTGTTTTTTTGAGTGAAAGTACTTCTGAAGACCATAAGAAGGTATTGTTTTTTATAAAGCTGTTGGAGTTCTTTTCTTACTTGCATACCTGCTCTCAAAAAAGTACCATAAATTAGTTGACTCTGTTGTATCCCAGGATCTAATTTGTGTAATTCTTTCCGCAATGAAAACTGATTATTCTTTACAGCTAGTAATCTTATTGTTAAATACGTTCCTTTAAAATTTCAATAGGCTCGCATCTCTGCTTCTTAATCTGATAGATATTCTTTGAAATACTACTAAAATGTGGACACTATACTTTTGAGCAAAATGTATGAAATGTGAGACCAATCATGTGACTGGCAATGCTGTCAGATGTTTCTTTTTTTGTTGTATGGTTTTGGTTTGTTTTTTTTTCACTCAACTCCCTAGGTGCATTTTTCTAAGAAAACAAATTTGGATTTGGTTTGAAAACTAAAATCCCATACATGCTTGATTAAACCAAGGTAATAAAACTGATTAAATAAGGAACACCCGATGTTAAATAAACTTCTTCAGTTGTTGTTTTTGTTAGTTCTGATGACAAACATAATAGATAAAAACAGTGTTGGGCATTGGGGCTTATCGGTGTCTTGGTGCTGTCACTGTTTTCATAGGTAATTGTACTTGTAAAAAATCTATTTTGTGTACCTTTATTTCAAGTAACTGGAGAGTTTTCTTATCCTGCGAATTGAAATTAATTTAAATGATTTTTTTAAACAGCTAAGTTTTAAAATCTGCTCGTAACAAAATCATGAAAAATAAACACACATAGTACAGCTTTTGCTTTGTTCAGTTTTGTCTCTTTTTTTAAAACACTTGTAATAATACCAGCATATTAATGGATAGTAACTTTCAGTTCTTTAGCCTAATCTTAGTTCTGTTTCTTTTTGTACTTTTATGTGAGACATATCTTCCTTCCCTTTCAGGATGAAACTTCAGCCAGTTTTGTCATGACAGAAGTAATTTGTATTCTGATTCTAAACTTAGTATCGCAGTAACCTGTAACACAGTTCCAACTGATATTAGCTCTGCTCCCCTTCTCATTTTTTAAGTGTGAAGAAGCTGCTGCTTTTAATCTTGCTTACTAATTATGTAACTTAATAAATGTGGGGAAGATTTAAACAAACAAGAAGTCCTATCAACACTTGAAAACTGACATTAATGATATTTGTCTATTGAAAATTCTTCCACTGAAGGAACTCTCTTCATCTTAGACTGTAGCGATAGTACTTGGCAGCTGTGGGAGGTTTACTTCCACATCAGATATTTGTTATTGGTCTCATAATTTTGATAAGGCTATTGGATTCATAAAATGTTAGTATCTGCAGGGCTTTGTTGTAATGAAAAGCCTTTCATTTATTAGCTAATCCTCAAATTGTGGTAGATTACTTTAACCCTAGTTTACAGATCTGTAAACCAGTGAATACTTCATTTGTGCATAAGAGTGAATCAGAACAGATAGTGGATTATGAAAATTTGCAGTGCTGACCACCTGTGTGTGTACACTGCTAGACATGTTAAAACATTCTGCTTGTATAAAACATAGTGTTTCTGCTGCTTTTGGTACAGCTCTTGTGAAGTCACCATTGCATGTTTTCACTGAAGCATGTTTTAGAAAAAGAAAAAAGTAGGTGTGAACAAACCTCTGAAGGTCATCCATTTCAACCTTATGCTTAGAGTAGGGCAAGCCTCAAAGTTAAACCAGGTTGCTTAAGGTTTTATTGAGTCAAATTCTGAGTTCCTTCAAGGACAGAGATTTTGCCGCCTTTATGAGCAGCCTGTTTTTGTGCTTGATTACTTTCATTCTAAAACAATTTCCTGTATGTCTTTTTGGAATTTGTCATGCTGCAACTTGTATCTATTGCTTCTTGTCTTTTCTCTGGGCTCCTCTGAGAAGAGTTTACCTTCATCTTATGTATGTCTCATGCCTTGCACCGTAACTATTCCAATGAGCTTTCTCTGGACTCTCTTCCATTTGTCCAGATCTGTTGTATTTGGGTACTCAAAATGGATCATAATATTCCAGGTATGTCCTCACAAGTGCTGAGGGAACAATCACCTTCCTTGACTTGCCAGTACACTCTTGCTAATGCAGCCAAGGAGGTGGTTGGTTCACTGTCAACTCCACAAGACAAACTGCTAATTTAGTATCCACCCATGAGGAACATGTTCATAACCAGTCCCTGGCTAGACTTAGCACTGCTGGCCATACAAATGCACATGGAAGTTATTGAAAACACTAATGCAACTGCTAATTCCTATTATACAGTAAGGCACCCGTTTATAACTTTGTCATGTGGTTACATATGCATTCTGTAGTTTGCGAAGCACTTTAATTGTGCAAGTGTTAAGTTCGAGAAAATTTTGAAAAACAACCTGAATGCCTCTGAAAACTAACTGTAATGATTATTCCTAGCTAATTAGTTACATTTTTAATTGCCTCCTATACATCAGAACAGTGAATGATATTGCCACATAGGGTCTTTATCTGTTTCTCTCTCCATGAGCACTTGCAGTGGCCTATGAAAATCATTAGCAGGGTATTCTCAGTGCCAATTTCTGAGCGCAATTTCCTCACCACTTGGTCAGCTTTATTCCTGCATACTGTTCTGCTAGACTTGCGTGCCGTTTTGGGGATCAGTCTAGCAGTCTGCCTTCGTGTGTAGATGGGCGGAGGAGTGTTTTTTTCTTTATCTTTGGAGAACTTTCAGGGGAGGAAAAATTCTGAAGAGAGGATGTCTACCCTTTTTGGTTAAAGTTGGTACTTGTAGAAATATATATAATCACGTGTGTTGTTTTGTGGTGTCATATCATGGATGGACAAAGACTTAAAGGAGGTAAATTCTTTTGGCTTTATCATGGAGAACATAAGAAAATAACCAGGAACTGACTTGAGATGGGTACGCACTTAGTTTTATTACATTCAAGGTAAATTTCACAATGTCTATTTTGCCAGCACTAATATTTGTTTCTTATCCAGGAATGTGTAATTCTAACTACTAAACCCAAATAAAATATTAAAAGGACAAAAAAATTTACAACTAATCCTTCTGACAAGGCTTTGCAAAGTCTGTCCCTCCAAGGACACTGTGTGCTATTGAGATGTGGAAACATGGCTTTGGGAACGTGGTCACTGTGTCTAGAGTGGTAATCTGTGGTTAGAGTATTGTACTTGGTTGATCTAAAAGTACCAAAGGCATGAAAGTTACCAAGTAACCTGCCCTAATAATTAGCTGCCCTTCTAATTGTTAAATTAGTTTTTGCAGGGCTTTTTTTTTTTTTTCCCTAAATTCCTTGTAAACTAACTTACCCTTTTATTTTGCTGAGTTACCTAGTCCTTTATATCTGAAAAAAATTGCCCACAAAAATACTCATGTACCAGACATTTTCCTGATATTGTTAATTTAGATGGAACACTGTCTTTCACTATTCCACTGTAGAGTAGGTATTTGTTTTGAATGAGTCTTGTAACACTCTTCTAAATTCCAAACTTTGTAGCCTCTTTCTGGAGTGGAAGTTTGGTGGGTGCAGCTTCAGGTTTGGGTACCAAAAGGTATATTGCTTTGCTAATACCATGAAGGAAACAACCAATGAAAAGAAAACCTCAATTTTCTCATCCTGTTTGCCATTTTCCTCATCAGGCAGTAAACCATAAGCCTGCACAGGTGCACTTTCAAGTAGTTGGGTGTGAGGTGTGTGATCAGGTATTTAAAATTTTGACCTGAAAGTTTTATCTCAATAGTAGCAAGAGTCTGGATAATTTTCGTTATTATCAATTCATGCTCAGTCCTTGTCTCCACATTAAGTTATGAACTTTATGGATTGTCTTCTAAAAGTGAGAAATACAGATGAAGTATTTGAAGTAGTTATTCAAGGTGAAAAGTGGTTTATGACTTCAGTGGAGAAGTTGATTTGAGATTATATTGTTTGCACATCCTTTGCAGTTATTTGCTCTGGAAGCTGATGGTAAAAGTAGGGGAACAGGAAATGGCAAATTTAGTTTTGGTGTGGAGGCAGAGTGTGGTGAAGCTTTTGCCATGAGTGGTTCTGCCACCCCCTTTTTGCTTGAAGCAGGTAGGTTTTTGCAGGGGTGCCTGATCTAGGTTAAACTTGTTTGTTTACTTGTGGCTACATCCGTCTTGAGATGGATCGGTTGCCCGGTCTGGATTTGTTGAGAAGGCATGTACTGATGGAAGAGAGAAGGTGCGACTGAGGAGAGCATAGGACTTTCCTTTTTAGTAAGCTTAACGGGAGAAAGCAGGAGGGCAGCTGCTGGTTTTCTTCAGGTGGGGAGGGTGGGAAAGATCGTCAAGGAGCATGCCTGCTTAAGGCTTGTGTTCCAGCTATTCTGGATGTCCGTGCAAGTTTTATCTGAAATGGCGGGCCTGTAGCCTTCTACACAGACCTGCATTTACAATTTATGATGGTTATTCATGGTAGCAGAGCGGTTTACGGTACTCTGGAGTCTGAAAGTAGGTTAGGCCACTGTATTCTGGTTTATCCCCACTGCAGTGTCACAAGTCTTCCTTCTTTGGACTCTGTAGTGTCCTAAATTCTTTCAAGTTCACAGGTTTCCACAGTGTGTTTCTTCTTTTCCTCTTTGCTTGTCGTTTGTCTTCCTGCCCCAAGGGTTCAGACATCACTAGTCTGGTGCAGCCTCTGAAGCCTGAATCTCTTAAGGTGCTTCAGTAATCTGGCGGTCTTCAGTGTCTGAAACTGGGCGTCTCAAAACTGCAAAGTGGATCGGAATTTAAAAAAATTAAAGAGTTGCCTTATTTAAGCACTACCATAACAAATACCATAAGTGTAGTTATGAAAGATATTAGAAATATTTTTCCTGGTTATCTGGGAAGGAGGAAGAGAATGGTTCAGTTTAAAAATGTGATTGTATTTCTTTTAAGGGAATACTGAAAATTGACAGGATTTTTTTATCAGGTCTTGTGCAGAAACCATTTTCTGTTCTTTATAAAAACTATGCACACAATGGTAAATACTAAATAATAAAATTCTTTATAACATTGCTTCTTTATAGTTGTTAATTAAAATAATTTCTGCAAATTCTTCTCTTATCTTTAAAATTTGTAATACAGCTGTTTGCTAGTTATCATGACCTGAGTAAGGGATTGTAGCTGACAAAATTGGCCCTGTAAAAATTGACAATATTTTGTGTTTTAGTCTGAGAGAAATGCAAAATAATAAAGCGTACAGGTAGAAGAAAATACATTTTACTTAAAAAAATATCTGATACTCAGGAATCCTTTTCTATTATTAAAAATAAATAAACTACTATCACTCTAATACTAGTCAACTGCTCAGAATTTAGCAGTTATTTTGCATATAGGTGTATGAGTAATATGGTAGTGTATGTTGAAAGGTTAGATACTTACACAACTATCTTGCACACCAAGAAAACGCTGACAGTGATACATCAGGCTACTGTTTGATATCTCAATTACTAACACTGTACTGTTTTAATATGGCGTAAGGTCTTTTAAATTGAAGTAACTTATATTTTAAGAATTTTCTACAGATATCAATGGCATTGGTTTAAAGAGGTTGTCTTTTGTGATGCAGAAGACGTTCCACTATTCCAAATTTATTTAAAAAGAAATTTAACTTTTACCTGTTTTGATTAAAATATCTTTATTTCTATAATAGGTACCTCAACACACAGTTTATTAAGAAGAACAAATTGACTGAAGCTGATCTTCAGTATGGTTATGGAGGGGTGGATATGAATGAACCATTGATGGAAATAGGAGAGGTAGGTATCTCTGGAAGTGGATATAAACTGTATTCAGAAATGCTACAAGTTCAGCTTCATCCTTTTAAATTTTGACGTTTCTGTGTCACAGAATCTGAATAGTTAAATACAATAGAAGATGCAAGCACTGAACCCTTTTTAAAATGAGATTAGAGTTTTGGTGTAGAAAAATACTGGGGGCGGGGGGGAAGATCAGTTCAAACTTGCCAAAAAAAATTTTGTTTATTTGGTTGAATGACACTTCTATCTAGAAAATAGCAGTACTTTTAGTTTTGGAGACCCTTGAAATATTACTTTTAGGTTTCTATTTCTTGATGTCACAAGGAGTAACAGCTTTTTTGAGATTAGTCTTCTGTACTTCTTATTTTCTAATGCAAGCTGTTTTGTACTTCTATTGTAGCAACTGGGATAGAGACTTTGAAAGAAAAGTAGACATTCCGTGCACAAAAGTGTCATGTAGGGAGGGTTTATCTTTTTGTTTAAAAAAAAAAAAAAAAAAAGTAATTTGGGGCAAGCACAAAGGTGTTGACACAGTTACTAATGTAAGTTGCAGACTCTGAGAGTAATTTTTAGTACCTATACAATGAAAAAAATTGTCAGCAGTAGGGCTACATTCTGAGATACCACCCTGTCCACTTCAGCTATGCGAAATTGTAGTTTCTGTTACTTCATGGCTACTCTTACCAGGAAATACAGGAAAGTAAAATGAAAAGACAATTTTACAGTGTTAAAAAAAAAAAAAATCCTTCAAATTTTTTAAAAAAAGGTGTTTCAGTATGTCTTTAAGAAGATTTTGGAAACACCTTTTCAGTCTGAATCAGAACAAAACCACAATCCTGAATACAGTTGAGCAGAAGCTTTTCTTTTGAATGCTTGTTAGTGTATCTGTTTGCTTTTTGTTTGTATGTATATACGCTGCTAGCTGGATAATTCATTTTATTCTGTCATTATCTGTAGTGGTGTATTAGGTTTTTTTCTTTTATCTCTACATTTGCCTTTTTCTCTAAAAAGGAAGCAAACACTTCTCTTTTGGTTTGGAAAGCTAGAGAAAACGTTCTTTTTCTCAATGTCAGAACGTGACCTGTCAGTGATTACTGTTCTAGCTCTTGGGTTTCATTGTTTTAAGTAGACCTCTGCTGCCTTTAGTTAAGAGTAAGGAGAGATTGTGATGCATGAAGAAGCATCTTCTGTTCTTCTGACCCAGCTACCCAGCTGATGAAGATGGGACTGCCAGTTGAAATTGCTAATCCTCTGACAGGTTGGGGGTGGGCTGAAAAAAACATGAGAAACACGATATACTTTAAGGCAAGGTAATTCAGGAAAGGAATTTCTTCTCTTGTTTACCTGTGCTGTCTCCGGGGCTTCCTGATCAGTGGCATTTGTAAAGGCTTATCAGAGCTTGGAAGTGCACATTGCTATACCGTTTGTGATATCTTCAAAATGGCGTAGGTGATAATTCCTCATTTCCTCACACTGAGATTTATCTGACTCAGTTCCCATGACCGTCGAGGTAGTCCTTAGCTCTGTGTGAATGACACTTAGTTCAGCTGCTTTGGGGGCTGGGAGTAGGTCTGGACTTGTTCTTGGGGCTGGGTGATGCTGACGTATTAATGAATTCTCCCCCGGTTTCAGTGTGCTACTCCATTTGGAGGTATCACCCAAAGTGATGGTAGTGGCAACTTTTGTCCATAGCTTTCTGCCTTACGTTATGTTTACCAAAGAAGAACTAACAGCAGACCTTATAATTCAGCTTTTTTTTAGTATCATGTTTTCCACGTGTTTATGGAATCATATGTGGGGCAGAAGGACAATGGTGTGCATTTTTGTTCAAGCTTCCCAGCAGTTGTTCCTAGGATGGTACATCCCTAGCTCATCATTTCGGCATGTTACAGGGAGAGTCAAGATTTTTAAACTATAGCTGGCAGCCTTTGGGTTTTGATGAAGATGTCTGGATGATGATGTCTGGAATTCTGCTAATGAGTTTTTCATTATCTCATTTCCCAAGACTCTTTCCATTTCTCTTTACTAAATACTGTCTTTGTAATCTGTAGTATTGGGAGGTAAATTTTGGATCTTGAGGCAGTGAAGTTAATCTCTGTTCATTACTGGTGTAGGATTAGGTTTATGGCAGTTAGTGCTTTGCTCTGAAAAGGAATGGAGACTTGAGTCCTACACTCAAGTAGTTTAATGCAGCTCTGTTAAATTGCAGCTCTGTTTTTGGAGAATTCATTGCCCCAGAAATAAAAGTAGTTCACATTTCTTCATCTACAAGGCACTTGCCATGTTTATCAAGTCTTTGTTTTGAAAGCATTTTCTCCTTCGTTATGATTCCAGTTTAGGATTCTATCTTCTGTTCTTTGGATTGTGCTAGGGGCTTTGACAAAAGTCTTTATTTCAGTTGTTCATCACTTAGAATGGAAGGAATTATCATTTATTCCTTTTTAGATAACTGAGATGATCTGTCCTTTATCTACTCAAGAGTAAACATGCTTACTTTACATATAGTTCTCTTCAGTCTCAGCATAAAGTTATGGAAATAATGCCCAGTATTTGTAGAAGCGGAACTGTACTCTCTATGTACTGAAGTTTCTGTCTCAGCGTTGCTCCTGTGTGCTAATGAAACTTTGGGACCTTTTCAGTAATCTTAAACGAGTACATGCTTGCTTAATTCTTCTGTGGTGTGTAACGGTAGGTACATATAAAAGACCAGAGGTGCATATGTGATGTGCATGGGCATGGCTTCAAACAGTTTATCGTCTCAATAAGTGTTCCAGACATTCAGTAATTGTTGTACTAGGATGAGATCAGTTGAGAAAGTAGTCTGCCAGTGCTTGCGAGAGATGGATTTTTATATTTTTTTTTTCTGTCTCTATGTTATGAATGCATGGTGAAGGATACTGCTTTTCTGAGCTGAGCTCATATCACCAATTTTAGACTTCGGAGTTTGCAATGACTCTGTGAGAGTTCTGAGCTATAAGGTAGTTAAGATGTGCCTTCTGTTTTGTTTTTTTTTCCCCCATCATGGGGCAATATATTCTAGAAAATGGAGGAAACTGCCATGTTCTGCATTGTCAGTCTAGGTGGAGAAGCAAGATCATTCCCTCTCTTCAAGGAGAAGAAAGTCTCTTGAACTAATACGTCAAGTTGCTGGATTGACCTGTCTGTAGTTTACTTGACAAGAAAATTCCAACAGGCAACTTGAAGCTGTTTCAGATTGGTAGATCATATGTGAGAGGGACCATGTTAGAGGGCATTTCAGAGACCATATTGCAGAATAGTCACTTGAGGTCATCCCCTTCACCTCATAGTCACAAAATGTCAGTCTTTTTTTTTTTTTCCTCCAGAACGAGCTTTTTTCAGCGTTCTCTGCTGGATGAGTTCCTGATGTCTTAGGGAAACTTTTCCTCTAAGTGTTCTACTACTACTCTCCTCAAGGCAAGGCAGTGAAAATCACTCCTAAGACAATTTGATTTCAAAATGTTTTCTGTCTTTTGACAGATTTATAAGCAAACCTTTACCTCTTCTTTGAACCTGCTTATGATGCAACTGTGTCAGCGTTACCTCCCAGACTTCTGTACCCTTTATTACAGCATGGGTGCTCAATACCTGTGACAGACACAGCATGCTCATTTCTCTGCTCTTTCAAAGGAGGATTTATTTCACAAAGTGGATCAGATCGGATACCTAGTCGGTAGCTAGATGCCTACTTTCAGTTAAGACATACCTGAGCAATATTTTAATTTTTACAGCTAAGGACCTATTATATCAATATAAGCTATTGTATCAAAGCTTTCTTAGCAGCACTATTCCCTCTGTCCTCACTGATTTTGGGCATTTCTTTTTGCCCAGTGTACTACTTACTACTCACTGGTAGGTGTTTTTAGAGGTCTCAAGAGTGTGCGGGTATTCTCCCCGTATGAGGGATCACATTATTCTCTTTGAGCTTTAAATCTGATGTTGACTTATGTGTAAAAAATCCTTTGAACGATTGCAGTTGTGTTTTTAAAAATGGTAGGTTTTGGGAGCAATTGCTTCACCCACAAGAGTTTGAGATATTTGGATCCATTTGACTGATCCTTCTAATGATATCTTAGGAATCGGGTGACCGTATTTGAATTCCATTTAAGTCAAGTATTAGCTTGCCAGTGACTTTTCTTAAGCTGTATGCATCTTAGTTTAGAGATGCTCTCTGTGTGTTGGATACAAGGGCTGTGTGTCTTTGATCTCTGACAAATTGGTCAAGATTCATTCCCTTTTGTCAGCTGAGGCTTATTTTGCTGTAATTTTTAGAAATAGCAGTGTCTGTACACATACAAACACTGCAGGTAGAAAGGCACGTTACCTACCTATTACTGTGTAGATGTTTTGTTTATATGTACTCAAAACTTGTCCTCATAACCCACTTGCTTAGGGTCCTCACGTGCATTTGAGAATCCTTGTAGAGTGGAACCAAGGTATAAATCAGTCCTATTAGACGTGTTGGAAGCATACAGAGCGGGAACCACACATTCAGACACTGCCTTTCTAGAAATTCTGTGTCTGACACTGCTAGTATACAGATCTGTGTGATCTTCATCCGAATGCAGTCAGATGTTATAGAAGAAAAATGATAAAATAATAATATATTGACAAATGTGGGGGGAACAAAAGAATTTAAAAAGGAGAAAGAAGAGGGTATCTAGCAGTTTGATTCTTAAAATCCTGAATGGGGAATTCTGTCATCTTTGGTTTTGTTTTGGGGTTGATGGGTTTTTTTTATTTTTTTTATTGATGTAAACTTGTGTTGTGTCCTGACAGCTAGCTCTTGATATGTGGAGAAAATTAATGATTGAGCCACTGCAGGCCATCCTTATTCGGATGCTCCTCCGAGAAATAAAAAAGTGAGTACTTGATTATGTTTTGCTTTTACACAATGTGGAGGTATTGCACTTTTTACTTTGAAAAGTCTGGGGACTTTGACCAAATTCTTTTATGAGGTAGCTTCTTAGGTGATGACCATGTTCTATTAGCTTTCCTCATTGTAGCTACGTATTTATGGTTTGCATGTGTAGAAAAAGACTCTGAAAAGAGTTAATTCACTGTAACCCAAGGGTAGTGATCTTTTCTTTTTCAGCCACCCTTCTTTTCAATGGGATTGGGGAATAGTTGGAATAATTCTCTAGGTCCCATGGGATGCCTTTTGCCTTTTTCTCCACCTGATACTGACTGCTTATGGCTTCTGTGCTGTCAGTAAAGTTAAGGACCAGGACTTATGCAAAGATTTGCCAAAGACAGAAAAGATATGTTGCTTTGTATGGAACCCAGAACGATTGCTTATCTGCCAGGAAGACTAAGATTCTAGGTTTCTGTTGTTCAGATGAATGACTTCACTTAACATTCTTGGTGCTTTACTTGAATGAAATGGAAATAATTATGTTTTTGCACTTTGAGTGAATTTATTATTTTATTTCTGAATACCATGGTTACTTTTAAACGAAGACCCTGGTAGTTACAGGGCTTGGGGCTTTTTAAGTTTTGATTTAAAACCTTTATGCTATTTAACTCCTAAAATATCTTTTTATTTATGAATAAACAGAAATTTTGAAATATACTACAGACCTTGTGTGTAGTTGTAAGTTCTGTCAATTTCTACACTTTTACTGCTGTTTAGGGGAGCTCTGGAGTTGCCTAATGACTGGCGTTTTTTAAAGTGATTGCGCACCTGACTCAGGTGACCCGGCTAGTGTAGGTAAACTGAGAGTGAGGTAATTGGGCTGATTGAGGTTCCTTGGACATGTGCTTGGTCAGAAAAAAAGCTGTATTTATAAGGCATTAAAAACTGATTTTAATATTATAATTTTGTTTTTCCTTCCTCAATTACATTTTTGATGACTAAGTAACTGACATGATGTCCCTCTCAGATGGTATTTCTGAAGCCAGGAAGTATTTATTTGCTTTCAGTTATTGAACCGTGCTTTCTATTGAACATGTTTCCAGTGCTAATATTGCTTTATCCATATGTTTACTATAACAATTTATTTTTACTATATGAAGATCCCCTAATTTATGGTGAAGAAGATTCTGCTTTGCTACATTAAGCACAGTGACATTGAAGACTCGTTTTAGTCAATCTGTATGTTTCACTGGTGGGTGGGAGTGGAAATCTGTGTTAAAAGCTTTTTCAAAAGACATGTGATGCCTCTTAAAAGTAATGGTATGTATATACCTTGAGGCTGACCGCAGACCTCACAGGGGTATTTAGATCAAGACTGTCACTGGCTCCATGGGGTGTTAGATCTTGAGACTGTAACAAGTTGACGTTATTTTTTATTAAACCATTTGGAAAGTTTTAAATAAAACTTGAGTCACTGTCTCTAATGGTTGGGTCTGTATTTTTTTTTTTTTTCCCTCTGTTATTCAGGTTTTTTTCTGTGTGATCTCAAAGAAGTTAATTCAACTCTGTTTCTCAAAATATACATCTAATAATTCATATTAAGTTTGTTTTAGCCACTTTGTGATCTGCCTGTCATGTAATGAACTGTATAAGAGAGGAGAGAACTTACTATACCTGTTCTTCCTGGTGTCATGAAATGTCGGGCTTGCTATGGGTATTCTGAGGATGGCCTTTGCATGTAGCTATAGGCTTGTTGCTGTTCATTGTTCTGATTCCAGCGGTCAACACAGTTTGTAAGAGGCAATTTTAAAGACTTTGCTGCAACAGCCTGTCAAATGTCTTTTAGCATTGAGGTCAGCAATTCAGGGATTAAACAAGGTCTTTGAAGAAATGGATATCAATAAGTTACATCTATCAGAGGTGCAAGAATATGCATGAGAAGTTTATTACCTAAAAAATTTAATAAAATTACTAATACATGTATATACTTAGAAACCTCTTGATTAGATGTCTTCTTAAGTGTAGTACTTAAGTGTGTGCATGGTTCAATTTACTAAAATGTTTTACAAAATAATTAAAATTTAAACAGATGGAACAGTTGAACTTCTTATAACCAGAAGATTTTGCATAGTATATGACAATATGCGGAGTTGATAACCCACATTGTAGGCAACTAGTTGCATATGAAAGTACCTTTATTACTGTACTGAAAAAGGTTGGGGGAGCAGAGCCGCAAATTTTGCTTTCAGACTTCACTTTATCTCAATGTATTTAACTGGAATTTTAAAAAGGGTTCTGACTAAAATCTTGACACATGTAATTTTTAGAAGCTATAAACTTGTGCAATACTCTGTACATTAAAATTAACAATAAACTTTTTTGGCACATGAAAAATAAAGTAGTAGTGACTTGTGGTTCAGCTGAACAAGATGGCTAAACTGATCTAAGAGTTTGCTGATGCCAAAAGGAGCAAGGCTGTGCTCTACTACCTTTCTTGTGCTGAATTTGGTGCTCATCTAGTCCTTTAGTGAACCAACTCAACTGCTAGTATGACAGAAAACCATCTTGGCTAATATTTCTCCAGATGGGCATGCTGAGTCAGTTCAGCAAAGAATTTGATGAGTGCCAAAGCAATGCAAGAGAGATAGAGAGGCCTGTGACTGAGCAAAAGGGAGCAGAATTAGCCCCCTTAAACAGCAGAGAATTGTTAAATCACTTAAGCCTGTCTTGTCTGACTACACGCCTCTTAATATAGAGTTCTGAATATAACACACTTTCTTCCCCCTCCCTCTAGCCCAAGCACTCCTCCTACAAGGCAAGCTGAATATCAACTTACGCATTTTTGTTTCAACACAACAGGAAGCCGACAAGATCTCGAATTGTGAGAAAATTCATCTATGAAATTCTTAAACAGAAATAATTTGGAAATTATTCAGGTGCTATCTCAAATGACAGTGTGATTAGTACAGACTAACCAGGAGAGGCTTCTCTACTAAAGATGACTAACACTTTCTAACTAACTGAACCTATTCCTGTCTGAGCTGATACATTATTTATACCATTTGTTTGAAAGGAAAGCTATTGGAAGTTAATAACTTTTTAAAGTGTTCAAGACGAGCTCTTCTAGTACATCGTGAATTCTGTAGTTAGTTGGTCTTGATAGACCATTGGTCTGACACAGCAGAGCACTTCTTTTGAATGGTGGAATCTTCTTTTAATGAATACAGTATTTATTATTGTACCTTAAACTTTAAATATGTTCTATGGGGCTATAGTAGTACACTGTACACTACATGTTAAACTTCCACTGTTAGCTTTAGTCTTAAGATAAGAACAAGATGCAGTTAACATAAAACAGCACAATGTCCTTGAGCTTGTGTTTTGTAGTTTTGTCCATTTCTGTTGAAAAAAGAAACTCATCATCATCAGAATTAGTGAAACCTGCGTTTCTAGTGCTTTACCTTTTTGTCCAGATTGCCCACCAAACATCATCATTCCCTCCTACCCTCCCAAGATGTCCTATGATATTCAGCTGCTCTGTAGCTGTATGCATCCATATTGCTAGCTGATTACTGCCAAGAAGGAAAATAAGCACTTAATAGGCTTCCACCTTGGTGGGGTCACCAATTTCTCTTATTTTAGTTTGGCAGATACTCTTACTACTGCAACTTCCAAGAAAATCTTCCTTGAAACTTATGTAACTTTCGAAATGTCTGTCAAATTTTCTTGAAACTAGCCATTTATGTTACAAATTCTTGGGAGTGGAGTGCCATTGGTGTAAATAAAAACCTGAAGATGCTGCCAAAGTGGAAAGAATGATAGTTCTGTGATGCTTACTATTTATCTTGGAAATAGTGTAGCTTTTCACATAGGTTCATGATGAAGTTCATAACACAGTTCTGTCATTAAATTTTTTATTACAATTTTGCTGTAAATGTGTTACAATACCTCTCCTGTGAAGACAGATGGGGAGAGTTGGGGTTGTTCAGCCTGGAGAAGAGAAGGCTCTGGGGAGACCTTACAGCAGTATTCCACTACCTAAAGGGGGCCTACAAGAAAGCTAGAGAGGGACTCTTTACAAGGACATGTAGTGAGAGGACAAGGGTAATGGCTTTAAACTGGAAGAGGGTAGATTTAGACATAAGGAAGAAATTCTTTACTGTCAGGGTGGTGAGACGCTGGAACAGGTTGCCCAGGGAAGTTGTGGATGCCCCATCCCTGGAGGTGTTCAAGGCCAGGCTGGATGGGGCTTTGAGCAACCTGGGCTAGTGGGAGGTGTCCCTGCCCATGGCAGGGGGTTGGAACTGGGTGGTCTTTAAGGTCCCTTCCAGCTCTAACCAGTGTATGATTCTATGAATACTCACCCACTGAGGAAACCTATGTTAAGCTACTAAAAACTCTGTAAGTGTGGGGCCAAAATGGGGAGAGTGGGATTCTGTTAATAAACAAAGAAATAAATAAATGCGTGCTAACATGATCCTGGCAGTTGTTCCAGACTTGTCATTTGATTGGCAACTGCATCCTGACGGCCTCCATATTCAGAAGTGGATTTAAATTCTTTCTTTGTTGTGTACTACCAGCTACCTAAAAGTGGGCAAGGCTGGTTCCATGTTGCGTTCCTTCTCGCCTATCACCTTCATGCCCTCTGGCCTCTGCTTCAAAAGCCTATCTCCTTCCTTGCAGCTCTTCCACGGAGCATCTGCCTGCTGTACTTTTACAGCCTTTTCCTAATGATACGTTGATCTTTGAATACCCCAGGCCTGACCTTTGCTGCCCCCTCTCTTCCCACATATGCGTGGGCTTAAGGTCTGCGAAGTGGCGTGTGAACTGAGCAGAGGGGAGCTGGGACTTCATCTGTTGCTACAGTAACGCTTCTTGTGTTTGTGTCACAAGTATCTTTCCAGGTCCAGAGCCCCACGTGCTAGAGGCGGATTGGACTGTCTCTTGACAGAGCCCTGCTTTGTGATATGCTTAACTTTTAGTCACGTAGCTTCCTGTACACCATGACATGGTGCTGTGTTCACAAGCTGCATGCACCCTGCGGCTTACCATGGTCCTTGGCCCCTCCAGGATGGAGCTGGGTCCAGGCCCTGGTCTGGTGTAACCCTTCTTCCCTTCTGTGACATGCTGCTGCCGTTGCCATCATATAACTAGACCCAGCAGGGGGATGTTGGCAAGAATGCAGGGTGTGAGTACATGTACCCAAACTCAGATTTATTCCATTGGTTCAGCTACCGGAACCAGAGGAAACCTTCCTATTCCCCAGGGGAAAAAAAAAATAAAATCAGACCATCCCTGCTGGAGCAGTCACCCATTAGGTCAGCTCATTTGTAATGGGTGATCAAGCTGCATAAAGCATAGAGTGACTGCTTGTAATCTGTTAGAGACCTGGTTCTTTCCACCCATCATGAGCTTAAGTTTTCAGACCTTAGGACACACACCTCCTAAATACTAGAAGCGGTACATGTAATTAAGTGTTGTGAACATATGAGCATGGTCTGGTGTATGTAACATGACGACTGCTGGTGTGGCTGTCCTGGTAAACCTCCTAGCTTATGGCCATCCTCTGGACTTTTTGCCAATTCCAAACCAAAATTAATGAAATTAGCAAAATTATTTCTTCCCCCGTTCTACCCTAGCCTAGATGGGTATATGATAATGTTTGGGTTTAAAGTATTTTTGCTGGCTTTACTTTTTTTTTTCCCTTTTATTTTTTTTTTAAATCACTCATGTAAATGACTCACCTATAGCAACATAAGTTTCTATCAAAGAACTCATCTTATATTTTCAGTGCAGTCTGGGTAAAATAAAAGTTCTTATTCTATATACATGTATATATGTGTACATATGTATTTAAAAAAGGAAATCCTTTGAAATTACAACTGCTGATGCTTAAGTGTAAATATACTTCTATGAATCATATTTTAGTCCTATTTAACACCTTAGGAATTAAGGAATATTTTTTACTTCTTTGTAAATTGTACGTGAAAGGTGGTCTTTTTTAGAACAGTTTATGGTTTAAGAAAGTCTCTGCTGCTCTGAGTATGGGTATGTTATTTCCAGTCTTTGCAAAGGAGTGAACGCTAATTTCTTTAGCATGCAAAGCACTTGTTTTAATTACTTTTGTTTTCAACAGAATGGGACTAAAGATAGTATTTTCTTCACTTGAACTTGTTCATTTGAAGTTAAGAACTTGACAGGAAAACGTGAGGTTTTCCTTTTCCAATGTATGATTAAAAATTGTGATGATGCACCAAGTATATTATTTGTTCCACTTGATATCTACATGCTGAATAGTAGTAGATATTCAGAAAAGAAAATAGCATGCCTTTTGGTGTGATGTTGGCAAAAACTATTTTTTTGGCAGGAGCAGGAGTGTGAAGGTAGTCCGTTTGATAAAGGCTACAGGTACAAGATGGAACTTGCTGTAACTTTTAAAGTACTTGCTTAGAGTATGTAGTTTGGAATACTTACATCCTTAGCAAACGCTTGGAAATTTCATGACCTGCGAATGCTTTTGAATAATCTATGAATTGCTATTTCAACAATTTAAATATATGGGAGAGAAAGAAGAGTGCGTTTTTATTTTAACATTAATCATCTTCAATTTTGCCAATCTAAGCAGAGGAATTTACTGGAAAATGTTTTCATCCAATATTATTTCATTTGACTCTCAGATGAGTTACACTAGATACCTACATTCTCATGAAAGTTTGCTTTGCCTGTTTCAGTGATCGCTGTGGAGAAGACCCAAATCAGAAAGTAATCCATGGGGTTATTAACTCCTTTGTTCATGTTGAACAGTATAAGAAAAAATTCCCCCTAAAGGTACATATATATTTCTGATTTGTGTTTTTAATTTTGAATGTTAATCTAGTATCTGTATTATTTGTCTTTTAAAAAAATTCTCCCTTTTAGTTTTATCAGGAAATTTTTGAGTGTCCTTTTCTGAATGAAACAGGGGAGTATTATAAACAAGAAGCTTCAAATTTATTGCAAGAGTCAAATTGCTCACAATACATGGAGAAGGTAAGAGATTCTTCTCTACACATACAATAAGTAAAATCAATTTACTGATGATACGCGTTTTCCTCTACGGTTCCCGTAGTTGTTCTTTGTTGTATGCTTTCATCCAGTTTTGACTATGCTTTTGTGGTGGTATGGTTAATCTGAATATAAACTACAAACCTTGTCTATGGATGGACTGTCAAAAAAAGACGAAAACCGAAACACATAGTGGGTTGATCAGTATTGCTTCTTTACTTCCTCATGTTTCTTCTATTTGTAGTAGCATAAGATGAGAGTTTTAGGAATATTACTGAGGTGGACTTTCTTTTGTTTTGCTTTGTGGTGTACGAAGTCAGGTTGTGGTTAAATTGCTTGTAATTCTTATACATTGCTTGAGAAAGCGGAGGTGAATAAAAGACTAGGAGTCAGTCCTCAGTGCTATACCGTCCACACTAACAAGATAGAAGAGTTGAGAAGATTGCTGTTAACCATAAGGAGCATAAGCTAATGGTTGCACATAAGCTAATGGTCGCCTTGTCCCGAGGTGAAATTCAGGGACAAGCGAAGACGTCAATTAAACCAAAATAAATGCAGATTCATTTTGTCTATCATTAGCAGTCTGCAGCTGCAGTACTCTCCCTAGGCTGCCTGTCACTGGATATAAGTACTTTTGACTTTTTTTATGGTAATGCCTATTTCCTGAATAGCTCATGTAGCTATGAGCAGATGTTTACGCATAAGCAGATGGGTTTGGAACAGTAAAGTGATTCTTATGGTCATATAATTAGGTAATGTGGTAAAACTTTCTAAGAAGGAATGAGAAGTGTGGTAGGAGAAATTGGGGAAGACTGGTCACAACGTTGAAGGGAAGAAGAAATTTTGAGAACTATGGAGTGCTATTAGATAGCTAGTAGTGACTGAGCCTAGTCAGTACTCAGAGTAGAAGATTATATTAATTCAGCAACAGCCTGATTCAAAGGAGCAAATTTAATTTTTCAGCATCCCGGACAAGTTCTTTTTTAACTTTGTTACTTATTTGTGTGTCTCATTCTACATACATATACTATTGTATATTCATGATTTTATATTGGTGGTTAGTATTTCATCAGCTCTCAGTTTAAAAACTTGTCTGTAGGTTTTAGGTAGATTAAAAGATGAAGAAATGCGGTGTCGGAAATACTTGCATCCCAGCTCATATGGCAAAGTGATTCATGAATGCCAACAGAGAATGGTAGCTGATCACTTGCAGTTTCTACATGCAGAATGTCACAATATTATCAGACAAGAGAAAAGAAGTGGTAAGTCTCAATGGTTACAAAAAATGTGAAGTGGTTTTTGGTTTATTCATTTAGCGTTGCAATTTACTATCTTTATTTAGTGACCTTCTAGGTGCCTAAGCATTTTCAACTAATATATGTTACTTATCTAGAAAGCCCAATGAAACCCTGAATGATATTTTTCTTTTACCATGTAATTCATTTTCATCCTTCCAAATATATAATCAAAACCTTCTTTCTACTGTTAACAACCCTTCTTTCCGCCAATACTCTTTCTCTTTCCTTGTCTTAGTCGGCTTAAAAACACACTGAAGTCCTGTGTCCTGTAGAGCTGATCATATTTTATGCTTGTGTTTTCATTTGTAAACCAATGGCTCTGTCTTTACAGATTTCTTCATCATCATTTGACAGGTCAGGATTATAAAATATTTTGGCTTCGTTTCATAGCCACTTTCTATTGTCCTGAATCTTTTGTGACCTCTCTTCCCAAGTCCTTTTTACAGAAGCAGATGGTCTTATAGTTATATTCCCTGCCTGACTAAAAAAAAAAAAAAAATGCTTCCTGATGACTACATGCCTCTTGTCCTTGAAAGAATGCTTATTCTTGCATGGAAGATGGTATCTATTATGTGAAACAAATTATTTTTCACAGTCAAACTCAAATTGTGTCTAATAATAGTGTTCAGTTTCCAGAGAGTTTTGGAAATTTGGTCAGAGCTCGGATCATTTTTTTTGAGGAAAAAAAATAATCGTAAAAATAGCAGTTGCTTATTGACAGCTTTTCTAGCCTAAGAAAAAATGCAAGCCACAACTGGAGGATAACAAAAAGTCAAGAAGATATCTAAACTGATTTTAGTCAGCTGCTGCTAAGGGAGATTTAGGGAGGCCAAGGATTAAAATAAACTGGCACAATAATTTTCTGTACTAGCCCACCTCTTCTCTTGGGGTCTCTCCTGAATAAGCAGTATTGAAAGAGTGAGGTAGTCACAATGGCAGTACTCAGTAAATACTGGTATTAGCCCTACTCTTTCCTTTTTTTCTTTTGTTAGTGATCCAGTATATGTTAATTTTTTTTTTTTCAAAAGTTAGTCTTGTTTCAGTCTTTGAAAAGTTCTGTGTGAAATTATGATACTATATTAAGTGTTGATTTTTAGTGTTTCTAAGCATATTCTATAAAAATGTATCTCTGTTACAGACATGGCAAATATGTATACTCTACTTCGTGCTGTGTCAAGTGGTTTACCTCATATGATTCAGGAACTACAGAACCATATCCATGATGAGGGCCTTAGAGCAACCAGCAATCTTTCTCAGGAAAATGTGAGTTTCTTCAGGCAGCTGAAATTACCTATTTGATTACCATTCCTGATGAAATGTTTACCCTTTTCTTTCTAGTCTTACTATGTTTTGTTTGTTTGTTTGTTTTTATTTTGTCTATATGAAATCGGTTTGGAATGTTATGGATAAATTGTAACTTCTAATCAGCACGCTTAGCTGTGCAACACATATCTATCCCGAGAGTTGATTGTTGTGATCTAACCAGAAACAACTACAGCTAGATATTTCTCATTGTTGTTTGTTTAATGCTGTCATGGCAAGTAGGTCCTTTTGTTCCATGTATGTATTTTTTTTCCTGAATTTCTCTAAGTTAGTGGCATTTGCTGTTCTGGTATGTTAGGAACCAATGATTCCATTTATTTTAATTATATGTTGTTTGTAAAGGCTTGACATCCTGTCCTGATTTCATTGTGCTGTTTTTCACTAATAGCTTTGTAGTCTCATATTTTCATGTAATTTCTGAAAATACAGTAATCTAATTATGTTACTAAAGTGTGTTGAACTTTTTTCAGTTCACGTGTATTCAAATTACTCAATTCCATTTTTGTTCCTCTAGCACTGCTGTTCAGAAACAAACAAGCAAGCTTTCATTTGGCAATATATTTGTACATGTATACATCTGGCTGTCTAGATTTGTGCTCTCTTTAGGATGGTGACTTTAGCCATCCAGTGTTTCCGTCTGTAATAATACAGAAATATGAACTGTTGTAAATTCACTCTTTTATTGACTGCACAGGAGTGCTTACTCTTCCATAACTCCCATGTGTGTACTGAAAACGGACGGCAGTCTTTAGTAGTATAGTTTGCTTTCAAATTATTTCTAAGTTTATTGAGCTTATTCTTTGAAAGTAATAGTGCCTACATGGGGAAATGAATGCAGAGCCGTGAGGGTGATGAAAATTCACAGCCTTATGTAGATAAACTCAAAATGTGAAATACTTGCTCCACTGTGTGCATTAAGTACTTTGTCATTAGAACATTTTTAATGTGTGACCTGAGAATGCACTTGGGAAATCATGTGGTGCAGCCAGTGCATTGCACACTCTTGTGTTGCTGCCTGCCAGCTTGTCTGTGTAGGGATTCCTCTAATTCATGTTAGTCATTTCCATACTAAACGTTACGCTCAAATGCGGTGCATCAAATTTGATCCGTAACTGTCCTAGATAGGAAAATTCAAAGCGTTCATCCAGATTTTCTGTCTCTGAAGTCAGTGTATAGGAGAAACAGCAGTTTATTTTTCAGTAGCTTTTTGGCTTGGTTGCTGTAGTTGCATGTTAGCGTTAATGATTTTTGAAAGGGCTACTAAAGGATTTTAGGGTATGATGGAAAAGATTACACAGCATGAGAGCACTATAGACACAAATCTATGTTTGATAGCAGGCCTGTAAATGTAGCCATAGACTTTTTATTTCCAAAACATGCTCAAGCACAGTAGTGTAAGAGTACACCAATGCAGAATCAATCCTCTCAAAGACTAAATCACTATGATTTTAACTTTTATCAAAAAGAATAATTAGGAAAAAATGTACACCTAATGTAGATATGCTTGTGTGTAGATAATACTGCTTTTCTCATTAACTTGCTTTCTGTTTTATGTACCCTTTTTAGATGCCAACTCAGTTTGTGGAGTCAGTTTTGGAAGTACATAGTAAATTTGTTCAGCTCATCAACACTGTTTTGAATGGTGATCAACACTTTATGAGTGCCCTTGACAAGGTAACTTTTACTTAAGTAAAAAAAGCATTGGAAAACAAAATGTGGGACCCTGTTTCAGGCTTACCAGAATTCTTCAGGGCATCAACCAATGTTCAAAGATAGAGTTCTTACACAGTTTTTCTAGTTTATAAGTGTAATGGAACAAAAGACAATCCAGTGTTAGAGGAACATATACGTACAAAGGAAACCACTTTAATAGTTAAATGTTTTCTGAAAGAAAGACCTTTCTTTTAATCCGAATTCAGAGCACAAAAATGGAGCTGACCCATTCAATGTAAACTCAAGTGCACATAATAGAGACAAATTGTGGGGTTTAGGAAGTTTGGTAACTCTTATATCCATTTGAACTTGAATTGGCTTGCTGCCATAATATTTAAACTCTGAATGTGATAGTATTACTTACATAGAAGCTTTTTTTAGAATTTTCAAGTTGTCTACAAAGAATATCTGGAAACTTACCTTACTTAAATCCGTGTCACAATAGATAACTTTTTCCAGGAGACAGCTGCACTTG